GTCCTGTCCCACGCGCTGAGATCCGAACGGCATCTCATCTTCTTCCATCACCGCCAGGAACTGAGTGGTATTGGTACTGTTGCCGAATCGATACCGTGCTCGGAGCGGCCGTGGAAGGACTGACAGGAGAGTGGGGTATGACATATGGAGCCGAAAAAGTGAGGCGGCTGAAGGTACGGCTTCCGTTGTTGGGTTCGTGGGCCAGCGGCGAATCGAGGGTCTCAAGGGGGACCGTATTTAGACAGAGCTTTGTTTGAGGCTGGTTTCTCCCGATCCTGACCGGCCTTCGTCTCCGGCGACGGAGAAATACATATAGAGCGGCTGCTAAAATGAGGGCTACGAGACCGCCGCCGCCCACAGCCACAGCGATTGGGAGAATAGGAAGTGGTGGTGGCCTAAACATGACGGATCCCGTTTAGTAATCATTCAGCGGATGGTCGACCGACCTACTTGGTTTGAGATGGACTCGCTGAAGTTGCTGAGGGCGCGGGACTTGAAGGCAGGTATGGGACTAGAGTTGCGAAGGCTATTACTGTTATAGGCATTGTCGTGGTCTCGATCTGCCCGTTGGATGTAAAGAACGAAGTTGTGGTTGTTGTGCTGAACGAGACAGATTCGATCAACGTCCCGCTCGGCGTGTAACTGAGCAGAGTGGTTCGGATAACACTGAAAGTATGGGTGGGGTGGCTCACCTTGAAGAGACAGACATCTTTCTGTGGATTTTTCCTCGTCAACTTCTGAGATAGTGACCGAATTCTTGGTGAATTGGGAAAGCTTAAGACCTAGAATGTAGGGATCCGTTGAGAATCCAAAGAACAAGAATAAGACTAGAGAGACAGACCTCCCGCCGGATAACTGTACGACAAGACCGGTCCGCCAGTGGTCTTATAACGGGCTAGGTAGTCGTCTCGGGTTTCTAACAAAAGCATGGTAATCTTGTGGACTTGATTATTGGCGACAGCGCAGTGCACTTCAGATGGAGTGAGGTCGGGACTCGCGTGTGTGAAGATGAATAAAATAAGGACCCGATTCATCATCGCAGTTGGTCAACCGATCAAAGTCAATTAATTAGCATTCAATGGCGAGCGCTGCCATATTCCATTCATTGCTGCAGTATTGCTGTAGTATCGTTGAGGTGATTGGGTCGGAAAAATCGTCTTCTAGGGCGCTGAAAGATTTATGAGTCCGGTTTGAGCGGTCGCGGTCCACGGACGGCCCAGAACCAGTATAACGCAGTGTTGTCGTATCAGGTCGTGCCGCATCCAGGGCTCGGGGAGACCAAGGGGACCATCGTCAGAAAGAACTTTGTTGGTCACTCGGATGATCCCGGGCTTTGTTGATCCGCACTTCTCGCTTGCCACCACCTCGTTTTCTTTCTGAACCAAGATCAAGTGTTGAAACGCTGACGAAATGTTGCAAATTACACCAAGAATTCCACAATAGCACCCACAACATCTTCTGGCACCTGCTCTGGCAAAAAATGCCCCGAATCAACACTGAAGCCCTGGACATCGACGCCCTCATCCGACACGGCTTTCCACTCCTTCACAGCATCGAAGCTCTTCTCAATCACCCCGTACTTCCCCCACAGTACCACTAACGGCGACCGAATCCTTCGTCCCTCCGCCAGATCTGTTCTTTGCTCTTCCAGATCCAACGTTGCGCCGGCTCGGTAATCGTTACACATGCCATGCACCGTCTCGGGACTCTCCAATCCCTTGGCATACACTTCAAAACACCGCGGGTCAAAGGTCCCGCACTCAGGCTGCCGCCCGCCGCTGCCGACCCCGTCCGCATTCCCCCCGCCGAACCACATCCCCGCTAACTGGCGCCCGCTATTGCGGATCAGCGTCTCGGGCAGCGGTTCTGCCTGCGCCATGAAGAACCAGTGCCAGTACGCCTTTGCGAAGTCGAAGTTGGTCGCCTCGAACATGGCAAGTGTCGGGCAGATGTCGAGGAGGACAGCCTTGCGCACGCGGGTCGGGTGGTCGACGCAGAGTTTGTGCGTCACGCGGGCACCGCGGTCGTGCGCGCAGACGAAGAAACTGTCGAAACCCAGGGCGTCCATGACACCGATGCAGTCCCCCGCCATGGCGCTCTTGGCGTATGCCGCGACGGGTTCGGGCTTGGAGGACTGGCCGTAGCCACGGAGGTCCATGAGGATCACGGTGTATTTGCTAGTGATCTGTGGGGCTACACGGTGCCAGATATGGTGGGTTTGCGGGGCGCCGTGCAGGAGAAGAAGCGGCGGGAGGGAGGAGGAGGCATCGCCGCTTTTGAGGCCGTAAATATCGACTTTGGGGTCGGACTGGGTGGTAACTGTGAAGGGTTGGAAGCCCTCGAACATGGTGGATGACGCCATTGTGATTCCAGAGTGGGATTGAGTTTTTTATATGTAGTACATCGTGCTCCATTAGGATGACTCGGAAGTCCAATTACATCTGGACCATTTGTGAATGAAACCCGCAGAATTCAGACATTACTTGGGATAAGCAAGCAGGATAGGAGCATCCTGAACGTGCGTTGACGTGCAATATCCTCGCCATATATTCATCACAGCTCACAAAGACGCAGGAGTGCATCACAAAAACTTCGATGAGCGACCATCCTTCGGACAGAAATTACAAATGACTTTCGAATATGGCCTCATCGCAAGATAGCACCGGGAAAACAAACCGGTATGAGAGCACATGATAACTCCAGAGCCTCCAGGACACCGGCATCCACTATGTACCATCAGCACATCAGTGCTCAAAGAACTCGTCATCGCTGGATAAAATGTCGGAGACGCTGACCCCCGTCAGAATGTCACTTACAGTCCTTTGAAACTTTAAAATTGGAGACTCCATGCAAGCGCTGTCTTCTATTCCAGTGGATAAATAAATACATGGAGGATCGACCTGTCCCACATGCTGAGATGAGAGACCTCGATCTTCCAACTGGCGGCGAGTATCGCACGCGGGGAGACGGGAACATCAAGCTCATCACATCAATCTTCCCTCGACGGGAGCCGTACCGTACTGCTGTCCCATCGATACCGTGCTGGGAGCGGCCGTGGAAAGGCTGATGGGGGACTGAGGCAAGACATACGGCGCCGAATAGGTGAGGCGGCTGAAGGTCCGACTTCCTACGATACTGGGTGTGTGGGCCGGCGCTTCCAGAGCCTCAAGCGGCGCCGTATCTAGACGCAGCTTTTTCTCTGGCTGGTTCCTTCCGATCTTGACGACTCTTCGCCGTTGACGTCCACGGACAAACATGCACAGTGCAACTGCGAAGACGATGGTGACGAGGCCGCCGACGGCCGCAGCAAGCGGGAGGATAACAGAACTAGAATGGATGACATTCAGCCTAGTATGTCAGCAGGCCACCAACCGACTCACTTGTGCGTCTGCGGGACAGATGACTGCGAAGGCAGGTACGGGATCAGGCTCACGAGAGTCGCCGTTACGGGTGACGCTATTACTGCAGTCTCGACGTGCCCACTGAAAGTAAAGGTCGATGTAGTCGTGAGGAAGGAGGTTGATTCGACGTATGAAGCCACGTAGATTGTGGGCCCGCTGAGTAAAATGATTGAGCTCACGACAAAAAAGGAGACGAGGGCTGTGCTGCTAACTTTGAGACACTTGGTACAGTTGGCACGCCCGCTCTGGTGGATCTGGTAAGACTACGAGAGTGCCAACATCGAAGGAACAAACCCAACGAGACTGTCCATGCCTTTGAAGATTTTAATTCCCCAGCCTTGATGTGGTCAAGAATTTTGCAAAGCCGGAAAGGCGTGGAGAGGCAGAGAACAAAATCCACGATGACAGGAGTCCATTCCGTGCAGTCCTTATCGTGGATACTGTTGAAGAGAAGAAGCAAAATAATCGACACTTCTTGAGGACTTGAGAGATGAGCTCGAGTCTCGCGTGCTGGCATGTGAGAAACTAACAAGTAGTCCCACGTCCAGATGGTTACTATTGATTTCATCGCAAGTTGCGGCGGCTTGCGGCGGCGACAAACTCGAAGCCGGCTAGCTTTGAGTGGTCTTTATGCACGTTTGTGGCCACTGGCCTGAGTGGAGCTCCCAGTGGTCGAGATGACTACAGAACAATGGAGAATCCAAGGAAAATCAAGAATGTGGTCGAAGGTGGTTCAATTGCGAGGGCCGGAACCTTTGCCGGGTTGTCCTTCACACACCTGCAAAAGTGAATATTCAGCCGGGATTATGCTGCCTAAATGTTACCTGAAAACACTATTTTCGGCAACATGTTCAGCTGGAGGCATTTTTGCCATTGGCCCGGAAAATGCCGAGCCAATGGCAAAAATGCCGCAAGCTGAATAAGTAGCTGAAAAAGATCTTTTCGGGTGACAATCAGCCGAGCTGAATATTCAATTTGGCCTGTGTGTCAGACTCCTTCTGGTGATTCAAACGGAAACACATCAAGTTGAAAAGAAAGAAATCAAAATTTGTAATTATTTGCTCGGTTTTGACTTGATCCAGACGTTGTCCAGGCGGTTCCCCCCAGTGTCTCGACTTGAGATTAAATTTCTGGAGGGGGGGTAGCTACCTTCCGTCCAGAATTTGTGTCTCCTGAATATTAAAGACACGAACGCCGCGAATATCTGTCGTATTGATGTCATCACTGGCACCCTCAAACAGGCTCGGAAATTCCGCAGGAATAGATTTATCTTACGGGAAGTCACCCATTCAATGTATTGTGTGGCTTGATTTTCGACTCAGAATTCAGAAAAAAGAGAAATTGAGAACTTTGGCAGCGATCAATTTGATCGAAGGCCGACTACGATTTTATACTTGGCTCAAATGTTACTCGAGTCCTTCAGATATATTCTGGGACAGTCTATATGTGCTCACGCGTCTTCCAGTCCATTTCTATGCTGTTGGAGCAAAATTGAAGAAGACACTGCGTTTGCAGTTGGTGCGTGGATTGGGAAGAGCGAGTAGAATGCGCCCCAAGAACTCGTAGTGAAAAAGGAGAGTAGCAAAATAAAAGTATATGTGCTCCCTATGAGGGTCGAACTCATGACCTCCAGATGAAAGAATCCAATGATTCCTCATAAACTATGAGACTGGCGCTCTAACCAACTGAGCCAAGGAAGCGTTGCTTGTATAGCGGAGAGTGTGGATGGTGTGGGATTCAGAGCAGGACCCGCACCAAACGCGATCCAGTGTGACTTGGGTGTGACAGCAAGAGATTCGTCCGTCAATGATCAAGGCTAGACTCGAGGCAGTCGCTATTTAGACCGGGGGAAATTGATGACAGTCGATCAATAGGCCGGGCGAATAGCCCATCACTCCTTGATCGACTGTCATCAAGCGTTCAGTGCTGGCGTGCGGCTGGTTCGAGCCTAGATCAAGGCAACGAATTCCACGTTGTATCTCTTCCAAGTTCCTTCTCCTTTCCTTTCTCTTTTCTTCCTCCCCCATATTTTTGGATGGCCAACGGCGTAAAAAGTCAGGTGAGTCGAAGTTGGTTAGCTCACCTTCCCTACTGACACTTTCTTCCAGGCCGTAAATACCGTACGTGTTCCTCCTGCTACTCACGGCGACAACGCATTGACACGACTTCCAGCGGCTCCCAAAGCAGGCGCGAACCGTATGGTCTTCTCTTGCATCAAACGGGTTCTTCAGTCTTGGAATGGCATTCACCGCATTGTATCGGGGTCAATCGAGGCATATCAAAGGAATGACCGAGTTTTTCATTGGCTGCTTCAAGTGCTATGACCGGTGGGCTACGGGTGGGCTTCGCTGAAAAACGGGCACGGGACTCGAGGGAATTGGACATTGGTGAGTCCACAGGGAATATTCAGAAGGTCACTATCAGTTCCGTCTGAGTTTGTCAACTCAAAAAAGGTCGGAAGAGGCGGCTCAAAAGTGATCCGGGTTTACAACCTCCGCGACGCTTCCGAAGTTCGCACTCCAACTGACGATCCAATGGCGTCTGCTTTTTTCAACTTTCTTTAAAATTAAATAGGCGTTTCCCGGGCTCGTCAGCCCCATGGTCGACAACGCGGCAGCGCCAATTTTGCAATATTGCGTGCTGATTTTTTGCTGGAGACTTGGGCCTTTACATATATAGATCCTCGGAACGACTGTCTTCCGGTATGAAGTGTGGTCAACGAGACTAACTTGGGGCTCGTGTGCGACACTGGGAGGTCAGTGCAACAACTGAGATTCGTCAGGTATGCGGGAGATCATTGTGTCTGATTTTCTTCGAGGAAATTATACCAAGGCATTGCGTGTATTCCACCCTCGCTGGTGCGGGAAGTTCGGAGCCGACGTCGCCGCTTTTGGTATGTTCACCCATACGTCACACGGACGTCCGGTAGGTTATAGTGCGGCTACCCAAGTTATTCCTTTGTTTCCCCGGATGGCGAAATCAGGTCAAAGCGTTCATTCTCGGCGCTATTCTGAGAATAGAATTCTCCCACATGCAAACTTATGTACTTGGAAAGAGGAACAAATTATTGAAGCAATCATGTTTCATCGTGAATCCCGTCTGACGAGGGTTAGAACGAGAAAATATACTACAAGGATATCAGTCAATAGCAGGGAATATGTACATGTCATGAACACCCCTACGAACTGGGACTTCGTTCATCTACGGGATTTAACGAGTGAGAGTAGTGCGAGGATGTATCTAGAGACCCACGCCTTCAGCTTTGCAAACCACGAAACGGGAATGGTGCTGAGCGGGGCGTCTCCTTTTGACAATGTGCTTGCGATGCTGATTGCGTCGCTCGCCTTCGTCATCAATTGTTTCAGCGACGGCGTTAGCTCTTCTTGCGCCTGGGCACGTTCCTTGAACCACTGAAACCGAAGACCTGAGTAAATAATCCGGGAGCACACAACAGCCGTTACCTTGACAAGGAAAGTCGCGGACTCCTTCGGTATTCTCTCTTGAGTGTCGTAATCGACGTAGGTAACACCGAAGCGAGTGATATACCCGTCCGCCCTGCGGGTGAACCGTTGAGTGACATCTCCGAAATTCGGACACCCGTACCATTCAAAGTTATCGAGTAAACCTGGAGAATCGATGAGATCAAGTCCCGACGGTGAGCAACTGCACTCACTCCAAGCCAAGTAGCATCTGACGTCGACACCATCCTCGTTGATCGCAGCTTGCAGAGAGGCAGTCACACCACGGTAGTAGTTGACGCGGTCAGTGTCCTTCACCGCAACTTCCTTCGACATGTCGTTCTCATTCTTGACAGCGAATCCGTTTTCCGTGACGCTATTTGATGGGATCAGATCGGACTGTAAGAATGTATCGTCCGGCTTACTAGATGGGCAGTCGATATCTCTGCGAGGAGCGTCAGTCAAGGAAGAATACTGGTCTAGGAAGAAGTTTACCTTCCAAAGATAATTGAGGAGCTGCAAGCAGGTCAGTCAAGTACATACCGAGTGGCGGAAGAGTTTCTTACCGCGCGGAAGCCCTGTGGATCTACACCACGCCAACATTAATGAAATGCGACATTGGTACAAGTGGTCGACACCTACAGTCCTGGAGCCATGCGCAATGTGCTATACGCGAGAGGTATGAGCTAAGAGCCGCGCGTCGGCAGCTTGCAAATTTACCTTGGGTGCCCAGTTGAGAACCGTCAGGTCTTGTGAAGGTGTAATCTACTAAGCCTTGGAACTCGTCATCGCCACCGGCGCCTGTATGTTGGGGTAAATGGCCGCCCTTAAAGAAAAGCAATGACAAGCACGAACGGCAGAGGTTTGTGGTGTAGGTATTCATGCCGTAGAAGTCGGACGAGCCCTTGACCACTGCCAACTCTTCTGAAGTGAACTGCGGCAGCCGATTTCCAAGCATTTGTTGCATGTAAGCGGGGTAGTGGCCCAAGTAAATCGGGTCCTAAATTTGCAGGGCATTGGTGATCAAGGATGGCTCCAAGAATAATTGACGTACCGCAAACCAGCCTACACAATCAGGCAAGAATATCGGAGATTCAAGTCAGCAGGGTGATAAGAGATACGTTACACCGATTATTACCAATCGCAACATCTAGGGCGTGCTGGGCTGCTTCCACATCTGGAAAATTGTCGACATGAGGAATTGAGATCAAATAAAAGGGATGCAAGTCGTACTCTCAGGAGTATCGTCGTACGGCATCTGCCAGTCGCCGTTCAGGGTGATTCCGATTTGACCACCTTGTTTGGACTTGAATTCATCCCTGTACAGCTTGGCAGCGTAGGCATGGGACAGGATAACATTGTGGCCGACGCTAGATAAGTTGAATATACCATGAGTTCGCGAAGAGGATCTGAAGCTGGCGGTAAATAGCCGCCTAAAAGCGGAGCTCACATCCAAGGTTCCGTAGAAGAATCGCCTTCTGGTGACCTCGTACGGTCACTTGATCTTCCGGGAGCAAAAACTCCGCGCCCATATCCCAGTATGGAGATACACCAGGGCTCGTTCATGGTCAACCTTGCGACCTGGTCAGTAGATTTCTCCAACGTATTCGTGAACGGAGAATACCAGAATTTGACGCGATCACCGAAGGCCTCAAAACACACCTGAAAAGTCCAGGAGATGAGATGCGGCACGATCATTGGAAAGAAAACCCACGCACTTTGGCGTAGTTTACATAGTCCTGCACTATTTCGTCCCTGTTAAGCCAGCCGCCATATCGCTCGTGTAGACCTTGAGGAAGATCCCAATGGTAGAGCGTCTATTGCGTACAGTGAGATGAGAACATTTTGGGGAGGAATCGTTACGAACCACAAAGGGAATGATACCATTCGCGAGCAAGGCGTCGATGAAATTGGAATAGAATTCGATTCCTTTGGGGTTGACGGGGTCATTTCTGCCTCCCAAGGGAATAATTCGCGACCAGGAGAGTGAGAAGCGGTAAGTTCTGACTCCGTATTGCGCAAGTAACGCAATATCGTCTCTCCAGAGCTTGTATGAGTCTGTTGCATCATCCCCGTTGCGCCCGTCGAGAGTTTTTCCCGGCAACCGTGAAAAATCGTCCCAAATAGACTTGCCTCGACCATCGGCATTGGTCGAGCCTTCGATTTGGAAACTCGCTGACAAAATGGTGAGTTTCGGTTTCCCAGATACGCGTCGACACAGCCGTCGGCGCGTGTTCGCGGCTCACCAGTCGCGAAACCCCATAAAAAGTCAACAGGCAGTTTGCGAATAGGGGGAGCCGCCATTTCGGTGGTGAATTGGCGTGGAGGCAGTTAACTCGGACGGCAAGACATCGCCTGTGCAGTCAGTTTGCTCTTAAAGCAAACTCAGGATCGGAGAAATGGGGTTCCTGGAGAATCTATCCTAAGTTCCGACAATCCTCCGTGCTGTGGGCTTCTGTTGTCGGCGCAACGCCGCGTCGCATTTTTGGACACATTCCCAGCGAGGAAGCCACGACCTGATTGCCTTTTGTGGAACCGCATCCCGTTATGAGTGGTCCCTCCCAACGGAAGACTGGCCAAGCCAACATTGCAATCTAAGTTTGTTCGTGTTACCGACGGCTGTTCCTCGGCCTAACCACCGGTCCGACTTATTATCCCAATGCGGCCTGATCTTCGCCTGATCACTCCGAGTCACTTTTCTCGTCACGTTGTCGCGAAATTCTGCAGAATTTTCAGGAAATTGCCAGTACTATGGAATCGACGTTAAATCAACAATCGGCCCTGTTGGGTTGGGTTACACTTTCACCCAACACGCTCGTTTCGATTCCGACGACCGTAAATTTTGTGGCCAACTCGAGACGCTGTTAAAAATGTGTACGTACTGCACGGCCCCGGGCCCAGATGCCTCATCACGAACTCTGGCTCCACCGCTCAAGGATCGTGTGCTATGGCCGGCGAAATTTATGACTGCGTCGGACAATTTGGCAGGTCAATCCCAATGCATGTGTGGTGTGTATATCCAGCCAATGGAGAGATAGAAATCAACAGGCACTTGCGTTTGATGAACGCAACGTATCATCGAACTTGGATTTTAATCAAACAGAACTTCAGTCATTCCAGTTTTGTTGCCAGATAGAATGCACTCCAGTTGTCACAGCCGGTCCAGAAGCAATCCAAACAACACAAACGTCAAATAAAGCACGGTTGAAAACCAATTGTTATATTCTCCGTGTCACAATAGT